GAGCAATCGCGCTTCGATATCTCGCTTTAATCCACGACGAAATCGTTTTCGGTCCGGATACTCTCTCTCTCTTTCTTTCGGCTGTACAGGACGAAGCGAAGTTCTCCCGGAGATCAGTACGGCGCATTTTTCTTCGCCTCGTATCTGGCATCTCGGTGTCTGGCGCGGGTCGCATTGATGCGAAGCGAGCAAAGTCAATGCCGCGCGACGGAAGAGCTCCACTTGAAGAAAGAAAATCTTCCGGAAAGCCAAAAAAAAAGAGTGCAGGATGCGGAGAGTGGGTTACAAAAAAATCGCGGTTTTCTTTAAAAATTATCCTCCACGGATTTTGTGTGTGTGTGTGTGTGTGTATGTGCGCGCGCGCAGCGACACACAATAGGTTGGATGGAGCGTATCCATCTCCTCTCACGGGGACTGTCCAGGAAGGTGCGTCCCCGGGCGGGTAGACGCTTAATAACGATTCCTTTGTTGCGACGGAACTGCCATTACGGACGCGACTACCACTACTACTACTAGCAACATCGCCACTACCACCGGCGCAACCGCCCACCGTCGTCATCACTATCACCAACGCTACGCCGCAGCCACCATCACCAACGGATAATGAGAAGGTGGCCCGAGGGAGCCACCACGAGCAAGCGGAGGCGGGAAGTTGCGGCGCGGTCGCTCTTCCAACAACGCGCCAGAAACACACCGACGCCGGGGCTAACCGGCGCCCAGTGCTTGCGCTTTCGCGTCTCTCACACAAAATCCGTAGGAGAGAACAACCTACACACAGTGTGTACAAGGCGCGGACAACGTACACCATAAACACAGTGTATATGCGCCACCGCAGCCGCTGAAGAATCGAGGGAGAAGGGTTTTAAGCTCGTTCGCTCGCTCGCTCGTTCGCTCGCAGCATCTGCCGACGCGCAATATTTTATCCGGTATGAACGGGCGGCAGCGACCGCTCGACCACGAAACCACCTCGCATCCCCGATATATATCTGATTGGCGAGATTTAACGAGGAGACCCGCGGCCCGGATAAGATTCATGGACGAGATCTGAGAGCGCGAAGAGAGAGAGAGAGAGATGGAGGCGCTCATCTCTGCCGCGCCGTGAATAACGAGCAACGCGAGCAGGGCGTGGTTCTCTCTCTCTCTCTCTCTCTCTTTCTCTTCCGATCCTTCCATGAAATCCCGAAGACCTTATCGACACTCCGCACCGGACCCGGTGGAATTTAGACGGCTTACGCGTGTTATCCGAGTTCGAACAACGTAAATCATGCGAGTTGGAGTTTTGAAGAGAAAAAATTTATATACATCCACTGTCTTAACATAAAATGAATTTATTACTCTTTGGAAGAGAAATATATTTTTATTCTGGAATTTTAATGATAGTTGTTAATATAATTGAATTTGTGTGAGAGAGAATGTGGCCTTGTGCACAATAGAATACAGATATGTCTACAACGAGAAAACGGGAAAGGAGGGAGAGTCTCCGGAGTTGTAACAGCGGCGTGAATTCATTCGGGAAGAGAAGTCAAAGTGGGCGCCATTTATCTGCGGCGCTCGTAAAATAGTATTGTTTCCGGTCCGGTTTCAGAAACAAAACGTCTGAATATTTATGCTAACATCATGACTTGAGAAGGGTAACACGGAGATGCCGTGAAATTTCATATTGCCGATGAGATGGTTCTCTATGAATGTGGTTGAATGGTCCCGTCGAGGCCCGTCTCTCTCGTAATTTCAGGCCGTGCGGCATATAATAAGTCGTGCCGGGCGGCGCAGTGTTATGTTTTGCTTGGAATAATGAGAATCGAGATTGTTAAACAGCCGCGGTGAAAAAGCGCGCGCAGTCGAATCGTTACGTTCTCACAAATCGTATCGCTCACAAAAATGCGCGCTAAAAATACAAAACGTCGTTTTTTAATAAAAAATAAAAAAAAAAAAAAAACCAAAACAAAAACAAAAACAAATAATCGACGTATATTTCTTTCATAAATACGAGAGAGGGATCTCTCGAACGTGCAAAATGCGATAGATCGACGAGCGAAGAAAAACAGCGTCGAGCAAACTGTACATCACCGTGGAAATCACGTTATGTAAGCGTAGCATCGTCCATCCGTGAATCTGGAGTGCGAAACAAATTCAGCATTTCCTCCTCAGATTTATTGACCTTCACAGGAGCCCATTCCACTCTATCTTATAAACCTTATTTAGAATTAATGACGCGGGAACGAGCCGCGGCGAAGATCGATAGCGGCCCGGCGCTTCGTTACAGCTGTTCGTATTTCTTCGGCTGACAAACAGTTATTTCTCCCGGTGAATCATTTTCTCGAAATCTGTGAGTGTGTATACAAAACAAAATCAAACGGTCTTTGCGTTCGAGGTGTTTTATTGGAAAAAAAGAGAGAGAGAGAGAGAGAGAGAGAGAAAATTCGTCGACGATCTCGTTTGTCCCGAGAATAAACGTCGTGAGCGCGCGGCGCGAAAAAGCGCGGCGCGCGATCGTTATCGATCGAAGAAATCACACAGAGCCCTTTGACTTCGGAATGTTATCGCGGGGGAAACAAAGTCCCCGCACAGAAGAACTTTAATTCATTTCCCCTCCCCCGCTTCGCGGGACAGACGGGACCGTGTCTCCCTGCGGGATGCCGAAGATTTCAGATGGTAGAGAGATACGGAATATTAAAAGCGACGTTTTGTTCGCCGTTCTATCGCGCGGGCTGCTCTTCGACGTGTGCGCAACGAGACGTTGTCTCACGTGCGCGCTCGTAAAGATGAAAACTCGAGATTATGAGATCTTATTTACCCCCGGTCGACGCAACGTAAATTATTGCCGTCGCGGAATGGAGTTTCGGTAAAAAAAAAAAAAAAAATTAGTTGGCGATTGTCGTCATATTGCGGGCGTGTGATCGCGGGCGATTCTTGAAGAGAAGAAGCGAAGTGACTCTGACGTTAAGCTCTGAAGCCATCGTAGAGATCGATACTTGTAACCGACACTGAGCCGACACCGGGCTTCAGCGGAAGGTAATACGTGTGTGATCCCCGTAAGAAATCACTACTTCCACACGTTACGTTTCTTTCTCGCCGTGCGGTTTGTTGCGAAATAAAAATTCGGAGATATGTCGCAGCAACTTTACTTGGGTGCGCACTTCGCGCACGTGCTTCGTCGAAACGAAGCGTTTGCCACGCAACGTTTATTTGTTTCGAATAATTTGTGTTTTCACTCTCGGTGCACCTCCGCCTCGTACCTCATCATTTTGGGAAGTGGCCAAAAGTTTCCAAGAGACATTAGATACATACCTTTCTATCTCGTAGGAATTCAAACGTCTCTCATCCTTAACGAATACCAGACCATCTTAATGAGTCCACGGTTTTCCTCCGTATATTCTCCGTCGCTTCCGTCTTGCGCGCTTTCATCATTCGAAGAGCGAAGAATCCACTTCGCATCGCGTAGTACTTGCATCGTCATCACCGTCAGTCGCGATAATGAGGACATCGTGTGCCGTTAACAAGACGCCGTCACATCTCACTGTTCTTCAACCTTCCTCTCTCTCTCTCTCTCTCTCTCTTTCTCTCTCTCCTCATGTCCTCCTCTTTCTCTCTTGCGACGCAAGGAATGTCATAACGCGGCAAGCTTACGAATGTGCTTAGCTGACGCCACATTCTTGCGAGAGAACGGGCCGGAGAAAGAGGCGTCAGAAATCGTGCGCGTCGTTTTGCAACACCGACGTTTCACCTCGTTCGCAGTCGACAGTTTGCAACGATCTTAAGAAAACGTGCCGGAAAAGCGACACAAACTACGGGAAGACAGAGCGAGAAACGTTTCTCTTGAAGTTTTCTGACCGCGATTCGTGATCGCAATTCGCGCGAGGATGGCTCGTTAACTTGCCCCGTGAAATCAAGGGCGTTCGCATCACGGAGCGCGAAGTTGAAGGAAGAACTACAAAAACACTTAAAGGTATCGAGGATCTAAAACCGCCGCGTTCTACTTCGCGTTTTGTTTGTTCGCTCGTTCTTTTTTGCCAAGTGAGATTACCGCCTCGAATGTCGCCGCGAATATTGAAACCGGTCGGGAAAGTGACGGACGCGAGAGAATTGACGGGAAAGAGGAGTGTAATACAATAGCGCGCGTTAAAGATCCTCGCTCAACCTCCGAGACTCGCTCGTTCACACAGCTTTTCTCGCTGTTCCGTTACACGCCAGGTTTATGTACAATGCGCGCTCTTTCATCTAGCGCGTCGACCTATCGAAACATTTTCATAAACATATGTATCCAACCGGCCATCGCTCGCTTACGAAAGCGAAAATATTTGATCACACAAAGGCAAACGCATAGCAGCTGTAATATCAAACAGTCTCATAACTGGCGGCATCGTATTAACATATTAATACGTATTCACATACGACGCATCAGTATGCATGTAAGCCGATGTTCGCCGGGGCTTCGCCCGTCCGGCTTAAACGGAGGGTGATCCCGAACACTCTATATAGACGGATGATCGGGAGAGGAGATAGGAGAAGAAAGCAGAGAGAAAGAGAGAGAGAGAGAGAGACAGAGACAGAGTGTATCATAATACTCGTAAGCCTCGGGATACATTAAGAGGATCATATCGTTCGCGTCTAAGATACGTAAGACGTTTCAGTTTGATCCGGAATACGAAGAGCCCGTGACGTATTCCGTGAGACCAGACGAGAGCCGTCTAACGGGCGCTACAGTCTCTCACGCGTCCAGACGACAGCTCGCTTTTAATGCGATAAAGGCGTTCGCGTTACCCTCTCGAGTGTGCGTTACCCTCCCGTCGAACTTCGCCCGAGAAAAGGCGGTTGTTAACGCGCATACAACCCTTTTTTTTTTTTCCACGTAGTCTCTCGAGATCGCTTTCGCTTAAGTCGCAAAATCGATTGAACGTTCACGCCTGAAATCTTTACCGAAACATGATGTAATATTCTTTTTTTATTTTTACATCACACGATTTTAAATTGTGTGTGTAGAAGTTAATTGTAAAATATGTGTGTTGGTAAATATTGATTTTTGTTTCAAAAGAAAGAAAAAAGTGAGAACGACATTAAGAAAATTACCGCTACATTGTTGATAATTGTGTGTCAATGTCAGCTTACACGCTTCCGTGGATTCAATGAAAGATAAAAGTGCATTAGTCATATTTTACATAATGGTTTTAATGAAGAGAAAGTACTCGCAAGGAGATTTTTATTTATCTTAGACCGTGTTGAGACTTGTAATTGATTGGTGTCGCGCGTTATAAGAAAATCCAGATGTGCAAATGTTAAACGCAAATGTCATTCTTCATTAATGTGCAAATGAAATAATGTACATACACACTATAAAATACACGTGTGCATACATATAATCGAAATTATTTATTACACATCTTTATTTTGTACGATTTATTTTGTTGACTTAACAATGTCCACACACATATCTGTAAACAAATATTACGCGTCAAGTGGTTTTTTTACGATTTATATCCTATAATTTTAACAAAATTATTTTTAATCCAAATAAAAAATATTTAATAACATAAAAATATTTAATAAAAATATTTAAAACATTTATCTTCGTAGAATTCGATGTTGCAGCACGTTTCTAATGTGTACTATAATTATGCATCTCGTGTGTCACGAATATTATATATATATATATATTTGCGTATCGTCATTATAAACTCTCATGGTTGTTTGTCATCTCGCGTTGCGTTGCGCTTTGTTACGTCTGACGACAAGTTGTTGTAATAATTCGTGATGACCCAACGCTTCCTTCTACCGCCCCCGGCGGCGGTAGTAGCAGAAGTGGTAGTAGTAGCAGAAGTGGTAGTAGGAGGAGGAGTGGTAGTTGTCGTAGTAGTAGTAGTTGTTGTTGTTGTTGTTGTTGACGTTGTTGTGCAACAGCTGCTGTAGCAGTAATCAGAGCAGCAGCAATCGTCTTTTGGGTAGAAGTGGCTCAACAGCGGACACTTTTCGATAATGTGCGAGAGAAACGAGGTAAAGAACGGCGTGGAATTCTGTTCAGCGAAAGAAGATGCAATTGTGTAAAATAATGGGTGTGCGATAAATGGAAAAATTAAATTTTTCAAATTCAACTTGCGCGTATTATTTTACACACAGAAGTTCGTGTAAACGCGGAAACGCGATAAAAAAATTTTACTTTTCTATACTCACAGCTTCTTTGATCGAGGCGCAAGCCACGGCAACGAGTAGAAACAATAATGCCACACGCATGTTTGTTTGTTGGATTTTCGCTTTACTACCCCTCGATTCGACAACTTTTCTGACACTCCGAATGCGGCGGCAGCATTTTTATACCAAACTTGCGAACGCCCGACCTATTTCTCCCTATTGATAACTGATAATACGTTTTTGTATCGCCCACACTTGTGTCGCAGGTCGTGCTTTGTGACAATTAAGTACCGACAATTCAACGAAACGTCAAGCTATTCTGCATTCTTTCGAGTGCGCATGTTGTTGTCGAGGGCGAAATCGTCATGTATATTCACAAAAAGATGTCAGAGTCAAGAGTACGGTCACGCACGTATGTATGAAAATTATTATAAGTCAGAACATATAAATAACGTGCCCTTCACCTGAAAAAATACAGACGTTCTTTGTTTCGAATTGATGCTATTGTTTGCGTTAGCGAATATGTAACGCGCACGTCGGCACAATGTATTGAAACGTTTTTATTATGCGCACATCCATTATGTAACAATATATTTATTATACAATAACTATCTAATTTTAAAGAGGTTTTAATATTATTGGAAAAAAATGTACACATATTTACAGAGTGTACGAAAAAAAAAAAAAAAAACTAGATACATCATTAAATCGTAAATTTTCACGTTAATTTTTTATTACAGAGAATATTTTGCATTTTTTTAAACTTTCGCGCAAAATGTGACAATTCCAGTAATGTATTACAATGAATACAACCCACATTACAGCTGGGGAAAAGGATGGGATGATCGCGAAAAAATCAACGACGTGACACGACGGAATTTAAACGACGAAATTAATAAGAAAATTGCACTTAATTACGCGGGTTGTTTTGAACTTAAAACCTCTCGACACACAACTCAAGCCACCGCGTACAAATTATACGGACGTCTCTTTTTTTTTTCCCCGTACAGATCAAGCGGAAGAAAGAGATCCTCGATCATCCATCATCGTTAGCATTTCATTCAGTGACAGTCGGTCGACCGACGAGCTGCCGCCGTTGACTATGAAAGCAGTGTAAACTTGCCGAACAAACAAACGTTTTATGGTCGTTCAATAGCGCCATCGTCTCCGTAATGTCATGACGCATACATTTTCCAGCGCGTAAGATAAAGTGCACATATTTTACGAAGCAACGGCTGCATTTTTCATTCTCTAACGAAAAATCGATATTGACGGTCTTCATCAGGATGGCTCTCTCTCTCTCTCTCTCTCTCTCTCTTGATGTGAGCCTTTCTTTCTCTGCCTCCCCCTTCCCTCCATCCATTTCTTCTCCTAACTCTCTCTCTTTTTCCTGCCTTTACAGTATAATCCAATACACTCTTCCACTGAGAAGGTTCCAGTTCTGGTTATAGCATTTACATATATTTGAGATACATTGATAGACACAACATCGTGCTGTGATCTCAAGAGAATATGATAAAGTAGTAGTACACTGTCCACCCCCGGCAATTCATTTCTCCCTGCAAATTCTCATTCATATTCTAAAACCTGCAATTTATCACAGAAAAAGATAATAATTTGAGTACAGCGGCGAAAAATAAGGTTTCGGATTCGCGGCGCGCAAAGGTAGAGAGACCTTCTCTAGTGAAGATTGTTTTATTCTTTTTTTTTTTTAAACAATCAGGATTTCTTTCCACCAGAGAAAATTTATGACAAATAATTGTCAATTTATAAATTTTACTCTCTTCATATACACGTAGCTTGCAATCGCGTTATTAAAATAGACAGAAAATAGTCAACCGATGTTGATCTCTCGCTTTTTATTTTTTTTTGAGGTGAGGTCGTCGTTTGTGTCAGCGACATCTCGCGAATCGATTCGTTCCGATCGAGACCGCCGTATTTCGAGGAGAATTTTACCGGAAGCGATGTATACACAATCGTCGCGACGCCCGCTCGACGGGTCGCGTCTCGCGGAAAGGAAGAGAGGCGCGGAGGAGGTGGAGGAGGCGTCGTCGTCGTCGCGCGGCAGTGAAACGGTAGATGACGACGACGCTTCGCGCGTGCGACGACATGAAAGGTGAATTTGGGAGTCGGGGAGAAGAGAGAGAAAGAGAGAGAGAGAGAGAGTACGAGTGGGAGAGTGAAAAATGAAGGTACGAAACGGGGAATCGCACAGAGGAGGAGAGGCGGGGGTGGCTTGTGACGCATTGCGGCGGGGAAATATGGGTCGTCCCGATTATGTCGGGAGGAGCACCGCGCCGGAATCTGACAGTGGCAGAGTGACGCCGCAAAACCTCATACATCTCGTGTATAACTAATGCCCACATATATCACCTCTTCGTCGTCTCCTGTGTGGATTTTCCTCGTCTTCGTTTTTTTATCACGCGCGCGCGGGGCGATGTGTATGGCGCTTTACCGGGAGGAAACAAGCGCGCGCGCGGTGGTTCGCGTGCGCTCGAGCTCGAATTGTGTGTTTTATTTTAAAATGCAACGCGGAAAACGCGCCCGTTTCAGACGACATGCACGAGACTTCGCGGAAAGATCCGCTTCGTTCCTCCGATCAGCGCGCGCGCGCGCGCGTGTTCGACGTTTGCATATTGCTCGCGGATAAGTGAGAACCTCGGATGTGACAAGTGCGAATTGAGAGAAGTACTTGCGACGAAGAATAAAAACTCTCTCGTATCTCTTTTCTATTGACACGTACCTATCGCGCGTTATAAGATTGTTACTTTTCGGAACAAGAGCCTGTGAGAAAGCCGCCGGCAATGTGTCTTTTTCTTCGATTCGCACGCGCGGTGCTGTTTTTTTTTTTTTTTTTGTTCAACAAACGGAGATTTTTTTCAATTTCCTTCGTGGAAAATTGAACATATTTCATCGTCTGACTATTGACACGTAATAAGACTGGAACAAAAACCCGGAGGAAGTCTGTAGCAATATTGTTTTTTTCGACTCGCTTCGTGTTGAGATGATTTTTTTTTTTTTTTTTTTTTATATTAAAATACTACAGTATCTTTTTTCTATCGATACGCGTATGTACGTACTTCTCGCGTTATCGGCTTGTTACAACACTCGTGCGATTAAAAACAAACTTCATTTTAGAATCTGACGTAACGAATGAACATCTCTATGTTCGATCGCGCGTGGTTTTACACGTCAACTTCACTTCGTGAATTTAATTGATAAGCCATCTCTCGTCTACGTAACTCTCGAGCAGTTTGACATACAGAGAGATACAACGGCTTGTGTTTCACGCCGGACCGACGTCTTTTCGTAGTAGGTGGTCCGAATAACGAAGGAAAATTAAGGAACGTTAAGAGGGCATCGCGCTCGTTAGCGCGGTCAACCCTCTTCAACCTGCAGCAACAGCAACAGCAGCTAATTGGTTATTCGGTCGGGTGAGGTGAATAGTCTTTGACGGGTCCGTCTCGAGTAGCGGAACGGCCTGAGGGGTGTGCTCTCGGTGTGTTTACACTGTGGACAAAGTCGACGGGCCCCGAAATGCCTGGACAATACGGCCGAGGATTCGAGTGCTCCCGAATGCTTCGCGGTCCAGTCCCGTTTTGAGTATTTCAAGCGTCGCTACGGGATTTAATCGACCCGTCACAACGATCGGGGCGAGCTCTATTGTTCCGTTCGCGACCGAGCCGAGAGAGAGAGAGAGTTCCTCGCGTTCTTTTAATCGTCGCGTAACATCGTGGCTTTTTCTTTTGTTTTGTTTCTTTTTATTTATTTTTTATTTTTTTCTTTTATTTCGAGTGCATCTTCCGATTTTTTGCCCTTTCGTTTCCTACCTCTCGCCGTCCTCTCGAGAGCGCGGCGACGTATCCATTTTTGCCGGGTGTGCGAAGCTTTGCGTTTTCTCGAGTGGATTCCCCCGCAACCCCCTCGACCTGCCGTATTCCTTTTTCTAGCAGGTATGCCCGCGCGAGCATTCACCTCGCTGCGACGAATGCAGGTGTGCGCTGGGCCGAATAAGCCCAGAAGAGACGCGAGGATGATGGCAACTCGTGCGTCTCCGAGCTTCATCGTCGTCGTCGTCGTCGTCGTCCTCGTCCTCGTCATAGTCAGCGTCGGCAACATCAGCGTCGTCACGAGAACCCACTTCCGTTCATGCGCTTCTCGTTTCTGCGAACGTTTCGTCACGCTTGTCACATGCCTTACCGCACGAAAGAGGCCGCGGTCAGGTAAAAATATTGCGATGGTCGTCGTTATTGTCCGCCGTTTCGCGTTCGCACCGTTTTCTGCCGTCCGTTGGACGATGAGCGATGCACGTTTGCGGATTGCACACAGAAGAAGCAATAACGCGCGACAGTGTATTACGTAAAACCATTACGTAAAACAATTATTATGTATAACATAATTGCGTCATTTACGCAGAAGTAATATGTTTGTTTGTAAGTAAAAAAAGAAAAAATCTGCATATCTATATATACACATATTCTTTTCCTGCAAGAATTCATTACCGCTTTGAGCACAAAACAATATTGTGAGTACCGAAACAATACTGTTGCTCCTATTGTTCAAAGTAAATATTATTTTAAACACATCAGCAATAACTTTCTACAAGAGTCTCTTGATAAGAAGAGAAAGACATGCAAGTGTTAATCACTTGCTGTGATATCTAAGTCTCGCAACTGTTCTTCTTCTCTCGCGATAAACACATTACGCAATTATCGCGATAACAGAGGTCACCGCATATATGTGGACGCGCTATCTAAATTGTTCTTGTTTCGATATTTAATACAGATTGTTCCAGTTTTGGGGCATTTGAGGTCCAGAGATCAATAAATTTTCTATAAGTGTGAAATAGTGCACTAAATATATAAAGGCTCGTAGTTTTCATACATGGTTTCTGTGTGTATTTATGGTCGTATCAGTTTATGATGTCAGAAACGTGACAGAGATAGAGATAGAGATAGAGAGAGAGATAGAGATAGAGATAAAGATAGATAGAGAAAGAGAGAGAGAGAGAGAGAGATCGTCATTTGACACAAACATCGAAATAAATTATTTTGTTTCTACATATACACTGCAGCACTAGCTATTTCAAAACGCAAACTCCACATTTTATCTTCCCGTGTGTTTGCAGACGATAAATATATTTAAGTCGTAGAATTTTAAAGAAATATTAATAAATTTATTATTTTTTGTGTCCTACATATCTTCTGTCGTATTTTTATCTTCTTAGCTCTATGATAAAAAGAGACACCATTTTATCTGACAGATTATCTTCTTAAGAGTCCACAAATATGTGTCTGATATTCAACAAAAAGAGCGACGCGTTGTTACATAATTTTTCGGATCGTATACGATATTTTCATCTTATGGCTTTTGTGTTTGCACATTTGAAACATCATTAGTTTGCAAAGACAAATAAAAAAAGTCCCTACTTCGCTTTTTTATTCAACGATACGTAACTCAAACGACGCAGAAAGTAAGAGAGAGATACTTAATTGCGGCAGTGCGCGCGTAATCTGTTTAGTTTATCTCAAATTGGTCGACGGGGAAAAAAAAAAGACGATAAGCGCTGAATATAATTCGGTGGGCGTCACGTTGTACACGTTCGGACGTATAAGATATCCGGGCCGTGATCGGCGGGGAGTCGCAGTCCCGCGCTCTCTGGAACGTTTCTCATCACGTTTTGGACACGGGGCTCGCCACGGGGAAGGACCCCATTATCCTCAGCCCATAAACATTAAGCGGCGCGTCTCGCCGACGAATATCTATTTAAGAATACCATCGTGTGCCACCGTATACGCGGCGACGAAGAAAAGAAACTGTGTTTCGTGCCGACGTCTCACCAAGAAAATAACGACCGGGACGCTTCGCATTGGATGTCACGCGAAAAAAGACCTCGCCCGCTACACCCGTCGTCGACGTAACCGAGACGATGTGAAACTGGCGGCGTTTGCAATCAAATACAGGCGCGCACACAGTCGGCTTTAATTATCGCGCGACCTCGTCGCCGCCACACCGAGACCGGTTTCGCTAAAATGATTTCGTCGTGTGTCTTGGAATTTCATTCTTAAGCAAATGTCCAAGGAACATTTGACAAAAAAAAAAGTAATCAACCGTGCGGCCATACCTTGCCTGGCTATAAAGTAATACATAAGAGTGTGTAAGCAACATTTGCGGTTTAAACAGTTATAAAAGACACCGTTGTAAACACACACACATACACACATTTCCAAATGATGTGGCAAATACAAGACGATGTTGTGTTTTATGGAATCTTTCCACTTGCGTGCGAATTAAAGCTGAAAGTTAAAACGCATCCGCTTTCACGGTTTAGTTCAGTAACCGTGCGACCGTCGGTCAACTCGCGTCGAATATTCTCTTTCGTAACGGCGCGATTCATGTTCAGTTATATATCAAGTTCCGGTAGTTATCGTGGTAACCAACGCGTCATACGGCTATTTTTTTCCCAGTCCCAGTTGTTTATCATCTTTTTGTCAATGTGTACCGCGCGTACATGCACACACATAATTAATCTCTAATGTAAATTTTATTTGCGAGACAAAAAAAGTTCTCTAACCAGCGTATACCGAGTGTTCCGAAAACAATCGTTCAATTCAATGAATTATCTCTTATTGCTTCTTCAGAGTTGTTTTTGCACACATTTTGTACAAATTTTTCAACAGAGATTTTAAGTTTTAATAATAATTAATATAATTTTTTAATTAAAGATACTTTACAGAGAGAGAGAGAGAGAGAGAGAGAGAGAGAGAGAGAGAGAGAGAAATCCATTATTTCACACAATCGCACTTGCAAACATATCCGGTGTTAAAATCGGAATCGGAATCATTGTGGGAAACGAGGTACGTTGTATAAATGCGGCATTTAAAACTCATTAAACTGACATCCGTCGCGTCCGTCATTGAGGGAAATGAATTTATATATCTAAAATATAAAATCTCGCGAGCACACATGTAGAAGGAAACTCATCGTAACAAGCCGCTCTCCCTTTTAGCCGGTTCAGAAATGCTCGTTCATTATTGTTTTACATGCACACAACCGTTCGCAGCCATTAACATACGGAATAATAAGCGCGTTATCGCTGCCGGAGAATGACATATTTATTAAGCGAAACGGAGGAATAGCGAGGAGGCTTCAAAACGTATTGACTTTACAATACTAAAGAATGACAGTGCGGTTTTCACTCGGGCTCGTAATCTCTTCGTGTCGATAGGCATTCTCGGGCTGACAGACAAGAAAGAAGATTATTACGCGCAGTAGGAAAACGCTCTTGAATGCATCTTGCGCGCATGGGTGTCGCAACTTCGACAGCGATAAAATTCGATAGTCGTGTTCGGGCCGTTGGATGTGCGTGCACGCACGAAGAAACGAGTTGAGTGAAGATCGTCTCGAAAAACATCGATACGAAAACGAGAAAGAAACGAGAACGACGGCGGACACCGGCGCGGCGGCGTGACGATTCGAAACGTGATGGTCATCGATGTCATCGACTCATTAATCGAGGCCGCATTCAGCATTCAACACAATGGGTAAGATATGGCTCGGCTCAATAATGTCCTGCGCAATCGTAAAATCGAAACTCTGATTCTCGTCGTCGTTTTGCTTTGTTGCGTTGTGTGAAAAAAAAAAAAACCTAACAAAATGCAAAATTGTAAAGGTTAGAAACAAGAGAGGTTGTGAGATCCGTATATTTCCGTCAATATATAATATTTACTACTTGTTTATGAATGTTTACTCCTAAAATTTAATATTGTGTACGTTCGCTCATCTCTCAGCGAAAATTGCGATAATTAACTAAATTTTCTATCTCGATATTTTCAACAGATTACGCGCGATTTTAGCAGCGCAGAAATATAATGCGTTACTCTTGCGTTACTTGTATATATTTAGTAGATTTATATTTTACACACAGAACAATATAAGCGCCACACCGTTATATTGCCTTTCTCTTGCACCAGACTTGCGTTTTACTTTCTCCTGCTTTCACTTGCAAATTTATTATACATTTGGACATATATAAATATCCATATACATATATTAATATATATATATATATCCACAAATATACAAACGTCAACAAGGTATAATACTGTTGATTAATATAGATTAAACGAAATCGTATTAATATTGTTCAATATTTATAAGTGATATAAATGATGCTGATGAAACAAATAATAATAAGTATAACAATTATTTAAAATGAGAATTGTGTGAAAGATATAAATTTATTACAAGATATCCATTGACATGTGCGATAAAATATATATAACTAATTATTTTTTTTCCTTCTCACGTGGCCTAACACGTTTTTTCTCTTTTCGCAAATGATCTTAGAGATACGCGTGCGCTATTTGTACTCCATAATGCTGTGCATCGCGAACATGATCATTTACGGTCTGAAAGTGAACATCGCGGTGGCCATCATCGGCATGGTAAAAAGGAAGCCGGGCGTGCAAGACTGGTCGGACGAATGTCCGGAGTTCGAAATTCCGGGCGCACCTACTGCCGATATTGACGGACCGTTCGACTGGACCACGAGAGAGCAGGGTCTCGTCGTTAGTATATATTTTGCCGGATATCTCATCGGCATGTTTCCGTCCGGATATTTAGCAGATCGGTAAGTGATTAAAAAATTGCACGTCGTTTTCCACACAAACCTGTTGCTCGCAGATAATCATCGTCAGTTTCGTTACAACTAATGAGATTCTCAAGAATTTTGTTTACTCTCCTTTTCGTTGTTCGTGCAATTTTAAAAAGTGTTCGCACTTGCTTATTCAGAAAAAAAAAGTAACACTGTACCTCCAGTTACAAATGAATCAATCTCATTATTCGATGAACACACACACACACACAGATTCAATACCAAGAACGTGCTGTTGATCTGCGTGCTGGCGAACGGAATCTTAACGGTGCTGGTGCCGATTACAGCGTCGTCGTTATACGTTCTGTACATCGTGAGATTTTTGACCGGTCTTATGAGCGCGGCGAATTTGCCGATAGTGAACATTATTGTCGGCAAATGGGTCGTGTACGAGGAGAAGAGCACGTGGATTGCCATCATTTACGCCGGTACGTCGCTCGGCACCGTGTTATCCATTCTTACGTCGGGACAAATCCTATACTATTTGGGCTGGGAGGCTATCTTTTACATTCACGGCACGTTGCCGTTCATCTGGTGCGTCGTGTACTTTATATTTTTCGCCGACTCGCCGGAAGATCAGAAGTTCATCTCGGAACAGGAGAGAACGCTGATCGTTACGTCGTACGGTCACCGTCCGCCCATATCCTCAAAAATGGCCGTGCCGTGGAAGAGCATGTTGACGTCGAAGCCGTTTCTGGCTCTGATCGTTACCAATTGCTTGGGCAACTTTTGCTGGTACTTCTTGCTCACCCAGTTGCCGCTTTACATGAACAAGATATTGCGTTACGACATCCAATCGGTAAGTTCATAAGAACGACAAATAATAATAATAATCTATATTGTGTGCAGATACTTATATGTTGGCTATACGCATTTTTAACAAAAAACATACATTATACATCTGCGTGTGCATTAATGTACAATAAAATAAAAAAAACTTGTGCTGAATTCTACAGTTACGTAAAAAGATGAAAAATAAAAACGATCTTCTTACGTAAGTTTATATAATTCTTTTACAGAATGTTGCTATTGTTTGCGCGCCGTATTTCGTGAACGCGTTCACCAATACTTTACTCGGAAGAACCTTAGATTGGGGACGGAAAAAGGGATACTGGTCTCAAACCGGTGCTCGCAAAATTGCGGTATTTATAAGTACGTACTTTTGATAAACGGAAAGAGAAACTTTTCATATAAACATTTCACACAAATGTCGCAAATTAAAAGAACGAAACAACACACCGAAAAACTTTCCAACACAGATAACAAAATGTAATTTCTAACAACACAGGTCGGTTGTTTTACATATTTGTTTGTACATATATTTTATTTAATATGAAAGCATTTTACACATTGTATTTTCGTTTAATGAAATAATAATAATTAAAGCTCATCTCTTATTGTGTGTGACGTTAGAAATTCGTAATATTGGCGGATGTGATGACGCGACTTAAAGCTAAAACAACTTCCATATTATTTACATGTTAATTAAAAATGAGGCATTGTGTGAAAATTTTCTGCATAAATTTGCACGACAGGCCATGACATTAAATAATAATGCACGAGACATTGTAATACTTGCGAGTTAACAATATTTAAAATCTCGTGCTATTTTTTCTCGAATTACGAGTGTTGATTTTTATTTTCGGATATATATGCAATGTGTTTATAAAAACAAAAAGTTTGATGCAGTTTGGCGAGACAAACAGAAATAAATATTGTGTTCCCTTTTTTTTTAAGGTCAAGTACCATCTAGCGTATTCCTACTTGTAATCGCATACATTGGTTGCGATCGTGTGACGTCGACCGTGTTGCTGACTATCAGCATAGTAGTCAGCGGTGCTATATTCGTCGGTCACCTTTGCAATCAGAACGATCTCGCCCCGAATTACGCGGGAATTCTCATGGGCATTACAAATACCCCGGGCACTATTTCTGCCTTTATCTTGCCACCGATAGTCGGCGCTCTCGTAGCCGAAGGAGTAAGTAAACATTTTTAATGCCATTAATTAATTACAAACAACTGATGTGTTTGTTTAAAAATATAACGAGACGCGCGATGTGTGTGATTAAACTCTCTCAAACTACTAAATTATTAAATTATGCGCTCTTCAAAAGTTCTCCACAAAAACTAGAATGACGTTCTCTCTCGGAAAAAAAGTTGAGCTGACATTTTTTCCCTTAGAGAGATATTGAATTTTAATTGCGTGCAATTAATCGATGCGTTTTTGCATTGAATGTTTTTTTTTTGCAGCACACTATAGAGCGGTGGAGAGTCGTGTTCTGGATCGTTATCGTCTCCAACATCCTCGCTTTCGTGACATTCGCGATGTTCGGATCGGGTAAAATTCAATCGTGGAATTATCCGATGCAGGAAGAAACCTGGGACGCCGAGGAGCAACAGCCGCGGGAACAGCAACAAGAAACGAAGACTTAAAGCGACTTGAGGAGACTGGCTTTGCGCGCCGGTCTTGTTTAAAAAAAAATTTGAGACAAATTGCGCGAGTACCGTCGTGCCGTAACAATATGTCACGGAAAAATCGCATACGTCAGAAAAACCGCGCCAGTTTCTCGACATTATAAATTTCTTTATATTTTGCACAAATCGTATACCTTGATGTCACATTGCCGGTCATTTTTGATGGATTTATACAGAAATTAATTTAAGAACGTGTGATATCTAATTATCAGTTTATGTTTTAAACATTTACAATGTAAAAAAAGTTTTAACATTTATATGTGCTGATAATATCTTGCAAGTGTATTTCAAAAGATCGGTCTGTGTTGGAAAATATTACTTGCAAAATATTACCGGCGTCAGTTGTCTTATACGGACAGCAATTTTTACTGGATGCAACTTTAGATCTGGATTTTTATATATGCGAGGGAGAGAAAGTGTAATACCCTTTATTATATTCATTTGTACGCTTACTTACACTTTTATGTATCGCTTTACTAAGACAATTTTTTCTCTTATATTTGTAAACAATAAAATTTTAAAAACATTACAAAAATTATACACATAAATCATCTCGTACTTTATTGCTCAATACTTTTTACTGACACTCTGACAAATTGACGAAAAACTTCGAAGACGTTACCGCTTGACGCGTCAAGGTTTACGCTATCATAATTAGTGTCGCGGGACTGCTCTAATGAACGGGTCGGCCACCAATTACAGACCACCTGATACAAAAATTCCACCTATCCCTAATTAGATCGCGACTGTTGCGACTGTCAGAAGCGAGACAGACGGGAGTGAAAAAACGAACGAGAAATAGATGCGCTGCGGCGAAGAATATTTACGACGGTTGAAATATTACGTTTGTAATCTATTTCCAGCCGCTCGACGAGAGCTCGTGACAAGATGCGAACGGTTCGCTCTCTTCGCGCCGAGTTATTTTCTCCCTTAAATATTACCCGCAACACTCGATGATAAAAGATTTTGGCGACTCTCCGGGTGACAAAGTGTATCGACAATATCAACTTTTCTACCTTCGAAATAATATCTCGACAATTTTATTCGAAAGAAGTTCGAATAATAGAGGGGAAAGCAGCGACATATATTAAATCATATCTTCTAATTTTTTCACTCCGATAAAACAGCTTGTCTAGAAGAGTCCAAAAAAAAAAAAAAAAAACGATCGGTATTTACTAACTGGCGAAAACAACGATTAATTATTTACAAACATCTCGATTTCGAAACTGATATAAATTTCGATAATGATCACACGAAGAGCCGGGGAATCGTTTAGAGTTAATATTCCAGCAAGCTTTTCTTGTAGAAACGGGCTGATGCATGCGGGCCAGCGCAAGCCTTCTCCATCGTGTTTACTAATTCATGAGATGAATAACTTAAGGGTAAACGTTCACACGATATGAATAATGCTTATTCGTCTTTTTGACCTCTTCGAGCAGGTGACCCGTTCCTTCTAACATCGATACGTATGCGCGTCCAAAACTCGACCGATCGCCGATCACCGCCGACACAGAGAATACACCTGTCGCTGTCCGCCACGTTTAATATTCTATCTGACCGATCCAGATTTTTAGAGAGCAGCATTCTGTTAACGTCTGCCAATATCTGGATCGTGTGTCAAGTTTGCAATTATTTCGAATTTTGTTTTTTTTTTTTTTTGATTTAATATCTCCCCTATATTTCTTTTTATTTCTAAGCTCCAAATATCTACGAACTATTATTATTATTATTATTATTACCACTAAAAAACTCAACGGAAATAAGCTGAATCGAACCGAATATTCGCGCGTTCGTTTGTTGCGATGTATAGGTATTTGACGCGTTCTCGTTCTGACAAATGACTTCTGTTTCCCGATTTGAACGCGGCCAGTAACTACCGATTCATCCAGTTGTCCGAAAAGTCAACGGACGCCGACTGATTTACACAGTCCGATATTTTAAGAAGATTAATCGATGCATGCAGCGAAGACCGTTTCGACGCACAAACAACGACGACGACGACGGCGGCGGCGGCGGCGAGAGAAAGAGAAAGAGAGAGAGAGAGGGAGAGAGTCAGTGAAAAATTCCTCCTCCGTTTCCGAGTTATCTGTCAAAATGGTAATTAATCAAGCGGTAATTATAAGTTGCGAGAGAATCTTTCGTCGAGCCGTCGTCTCGTCTGCTTAGAGAAGAGTACGTAGTTGCGGGTCGCCCGACAGGGGCGGTTAATCAATCCTGGAACGCTCGTTACAGCTCGAGCGTCCCGGCACTTGAAGTGGCGTTAACGCATCCGGAGCGCCACTAAAACGTCAGGAATTGTTAATCTGCCCGAGAGCGCGCTTAACGCACACGCTTGATAACACATTGTCGACGATGGGGGGGGAGGAGGGTTGGTGTCCATCACCTTGCGTGGTGGGGTTACTTGGAATAAACCCTTACTTTCCAGTTTCCGCTCCCTGACCCTCTTCCTCCTCCTCCACTTCCTCTCTCTCTTTCTCTCTCCCTTTCTCTTCTTGTCACTCTCGCTCGTTCTTACTTACCTCGAGGTATCTTGGCGGGAGACATTCGCCGCCAAGCAGTACGAGACCGCACCGTTATTACTAGCGATAAATCGCCACCTTTAATAAGAGCTCGCGCGACGTACGCCAGACGGAAGCCAGAAACGACGACGACGACGACGACGACGACGGCGACGACGTCGACGACGACGATGGCGACAACGACGAAAGGATGGTGAATTTAAGAGGGAGGGCGAATAAGACCGCGAGTACACTCTATTCAAACGATATCCGCTCGATTTTACTCCGAGTTCTTCTCCACAATGTCGCGCGCCGGTTCCTTTTATATATCACGTACCATCCCGAACGATTTAATTTTGTACATCTTGCCGAGCGCGCGATAAATATTTCGCGCGCGCAAAATACCCGCCGGCGTAACGCGAAAATTTATTACATTTACTGGAAGATAATATTTTGTAACGCCCATCTATATGTACATATATATATGTACATATATGTATGTATTATATATATAAATATATATGTGTATACGCGCGCGCACGTGCTATCAGCGTGGTATGGAGTTTTTGGTGTTTGATCCGGGGGATATGGTACGCTGATGATTTATTGCCGGGTGCGTTTTGATTGACGTTGTAACAAGATAGTAAACGTATTTCACATCGCGCCGCGTTTTAATCCTTTCTAAACCCGATATCGACGTTACGCCATTGTGCCGCGTGTCAGGCTTTTACCTTATAATATCAACAAGCAATTATCGATGGATTTGAATATTTTCGCGTGAATGTGTTACTTCAAGTTACACAGTTAATCTACGTCGCTCACGCGATTATATATCGTTCATATTCTAATAGCTTTTTCCGATATTTGTGCGTGCGATCGAGATATAAAAAACTTTTCGGGCGCGTCGGTTTTTATTTGCGTTCGTTTGACGAGCGAAGAAGTGAATTGAACGTGCGCGAGGATCAATTCTCGGCGCGGATTGATCAGCAAGCCGGAGAACGTCGACCAACGGTCAACGGCGCGCTCGAACGCGAGAAGAGAGTCATCAAGATCAAGATTTTTCTCGCGTCGCATCGCGGCGGGAAGTTCCGTATCCACCCCCCGCGGGAGGTATCCGCGTGTTAAAGAACACCCGGATACGCCACCAGGTTGCCAGAAACGGCGGCGAGGAAATAACGCGGCAGAGACGAGAGCCAAGAAACTCGGTCACCTGGTTTTCCAATTGACCGGCTTTCTCACTCGCGGCGTAACCCGCAGTCTGACTGCATTGTACAAACTTTCCGCAGATTTTAGATGTCACCGCGTTTCATATGTTAAACGAACGGAGCCAGGAAGAGAGAGAGAGAGAGAGAGAGACAGAGAGAGGAAGGGAGGAGATCGCGTTGGTCGCCGCTGAAACGATCGACGTGAACGCCGAAAGCGCGGGACGAAAGCGCAAGCCCTGTATAAATATGTATATGCGAAAGCATACACACGGGAGCGGGGGAGATGTGTGTGTGTGTGTGTGTGTGTACAGGGTCGGACGAGAGCGGACCTATGTCAAAACCGCCTGGCTGCGTCGCGGATTCGCGCCGGGAGAGCGTCAGAAGAGACCGCTTAATCGGCGGTCGTTGCTGCTGCATCGGATTTTGATTAGCGCGGCCACGTCACGTTCGTCCGTTCGTTTGTCGACGGATAAAAAAATGCATCGCACACGCCACGGCGCATTAACTCGTACGCGATTGCACACGCGTGTGCGTGCGTGTTCGCGCGTGTGTGTGTGTGTATATATATATACATATATGTATATATATATATATACACGCACATTTATACATGCGTGACATACGGCACTCCTGTCAGTTCCGTCCTGAGTATTTTTCGCGTTCGTGTGCGCGCAAGTCACGCTCTCCACGCGTCGTTGCCTCCGGTGACTTTTAATCTACGCTAATATTAAAGCTATCCAAATAATCATGGCGCGTCCGCCATTCTCTCGAACAAAAGCGCGCGCCCGTTCTCTGTAACATATGTCACGGATAACGTAACTCGAATAACGTTGTTCAACGCGCTCGATCAATTGCCACGCGCGCGCACACACACACACACACACACTTTCTCTCTCTCTCTCGTGCCGAGCGAGCGCGCGGTTCAGCGCTTCAAGGATTTATACCCCTCTTTTTGTCAACGAACTCCGAACATTCGGTCAAAGTGCTCGTCGAGCACTTTGTGAGCGAGTCGGTTTCTCTGTGACTTTTAAAACGGGATTATGCATATACACGTCGCGCTGATGTACATCAGCTGAAAAGAGCTTTCGACGTGTAATTATATGTATTCTCGCGCTCGCTGAGATACATCGCCGCGATCCGCATGGATTTCGAGGACGAACAACCAAGGTGCTTAAACATTCGAAAAACTCTGCAAAAACTCGACAAATATTTGTCGTAGCCGGTGAGATCAAACGCGCGCGTGATTTTTTTTTTTTTTTTTTTTTTTATTGTTTAATGACGCTGCAATGTCTCTGATTAACGTGACTTTGAAGAAATCCCCGCGCTCGTGTGTGTATGTATATATATATATATATATATATATATTACACTTTCACATCGGTTTACCAAAAAGACGGTTAGATAGCGCGCGAACACAAACTCGGCGAGCGCGCGCGGCTTGTATCTCGTAATTTAATCATATCTTCACACGCCCCTCGCGAGCGATAGAGTCGATGTAAGACCCCCTTCTCCGTTTTCGCAGCCGCGGTACAGAGCTGGCAAAGTGCTCGGGGTTATTAGGCGCGTTCATTGTTGCGCGTTCGTACTTTATTGTTGTTTCAATTACGTTTGAGAGAAAAGCTGCACCCCTTCGGCTCACGCTTTCTCCTCTCTCTTTCTGTGCGCCACTGTGTTATTTCGCCTCTCTTTCTCTCTCTCTCTCTCTCTCACACACATACACAGTCTCTTTCGCGTCCGACCTTTCGACTACCCCGACGGATCGCGCGCCCTTCACCTCGCGCCCCAAACTTGCGCCCTCTCCGCGTCTCTCTCCTCTCCTTTCCCCGCGG